ATCGATAGCCAGACTTTACTAGTTTCGATCAGAATAGATCGTAATTGGACAGAGCTAGCCGTCGGATTTCTGCTTCCAAGTTCTTACAATTTTCCGGTCAGCATCGGCTCGTATTTCATTACATAGAAATTGTGCTTTAGGACAGCTTTTCTATATAAAAAGTGTTATGAATTAATATGAAACAATGATCATTACAAACTCTTATTTATTTCCAATGACTATTGTAGTTTTAGTTGAATTAATTTTTTGTAAATTCTTTGTATTATTTAGATGTGTCATTAAAAACAAAGGTTAGTATGATTTATGTTTATTAGTCTATGGATTTCATTCATAATCATTTTACTGTATTTTTTATCTGTTTTTAAAGTACAAAAAAAATGTTTATTGATACAAGAGTTTGTCCATAAAAACAATCTATTAGTTTCTACTCAGGTCAAGAAATACGCGCCATTTCCAGCCAAAAAACTCGAGAAAATGGTAGAAACTTCTTACCATTTTACCGAGTTTTTCTGTCGAAATTCTTTTAAATAAGTAGAGTGAAACATGAATAACTGATCTCTTTAATTAATTGAGCTTTTGTTTGAGATGGTATGAGAATTCGATGGAGAAAAACTATTAATCAAAAAAAGTCTGATCATTCAATATTTGAAAAAAAAACTTAATTTTGATTATGAATTTTGTTTTTGTTTAGGTAACAAGAAAAGCTCTAATAGATATCGTACATAAATTAATGATTCATATGGATAAATCTGAAGGATCACATTATCGAGATGAACTACTTTCAAAAATAATTGAAATATGTAGTCAAAATGATTATTAACACATAACTAATTTTGAATGGTTTACATTTATTTTTTAATTTTTATTAATAAAAAAACATTATTTATCACTATAGATATATTAGTATATTGGTTGAATTAACTCGTCTTGAAAGTACAAAACATGGTAATCTCATATCTTTACAAATGCTTGATGTTGTTGTTCGTGTTGAATCTATTCGTTCATTTGCTTGTAACCAAATGATAGAAATTTTTCAAAGATAAAATCACGAAAAAATTTTTTTATTTCTATTCTTTCAGGCAATTCTTCTTGAAAATGATTATGTTTTTATTCATGACTCAAATTCTACAACTGTCTCCGAAGTTTTATATGCTGCTGCATGGATTTGTAGTGGATTTTGTTCGTAAGTCAATAACGAAAAACAAAATTAATCGAAAGAATTCTTGTTTTTCTTTTCTCTATAGTCATTAAAAAATCAAACTATTTTAAAAATTATCATATATTTAATTCAATCATCGAATAATGATAAAACATGAATTCAACAACTTCTTTCATTAACGATTGATAAAATGTCTCTATTTT